TTGTGTTCTCAGAAACTAGTCTGTTTTTTTTCTTTCTTAAAACTGTTCATGTTTTATGAACCAACACCTTCACCAAGTAGCTTTACAGTGAACTGCATGTGAGATATTAAAATTAATAGCATCTTTACAGTAGCATTAATTATAAATATTTAAGTGGTTCAATACAAGTCCACTACAGCATTTCAAACTGAACTGTGAATAAATGCAATTTAAAAAAAATAACCACAGGCACAAAATGTCATAAATTGTGTTTTTTTTCTTTGTTTCTCTGAGGATTATTTACAAACAGGCTTATTTACATATAGCAATAACTCGGAAATGAAAAAGCTACATCGTCTAACACGAACAACCACTTAGCATAATGATAATATATGTGTTATGTACAATGTAACTGGCAAGGCTAGAGCAAGAAAGAACATAAAGTTTGCAAAAGGTTTAAATAACTTCAAGTATCTGTCTTCAGATTACGTGGAGGTTTTAGTCCGATGGGAAGCAGATTTTAAGCGACACCGAAGATAAACCAAAAATGTGGTGGAGCTGCAAACCGTGTAGTGTTGCTGGGACAGAACAGGAGCTATAACCGTTGGAAAATACATCACAGACAATGCAACAAACGTGGAGACAGAACAATCACTTCTGTGATAAATGCCCACTTATTAATAAACTTCTAACAACCATGGGAAACCTCCTCTCTACATATAAAGTGATATCCAAGCATGGGAAACAAAAGGACAGCATTTACCTGTTTGCATCCAGCTAGCCAAGCCTTTTTTGTGTACCAGCTACTTGCGAAGCCTCGGTATACGTTTTGTCTTTTTCACGAGATTGCTGCGATATATTCAAATCGGGTTGGTCCGGTCCAAGGTCTTTAAGCAACAATTTATCTGCCAAACTTCTCCTTTCGAAAGGATTGGAGATTAGCTCTTGAACAGAATTCGGCTGGGGACCGAGGTCCGGAGACTCCACCTGCACACGAAGCCATCCTCATCAACTACTGCGTCAACCGGATTACGAGTCACTGTCCAAACTACTCACAGACTGCAACTGGGCGCTGACATTGGCGCCGGTGACCGTCATCTTTGACAACGCTGATTGGCTGAAATTATATTTTCGCGGCATAGTTTACACGTTACAGATAGCAACAGTCAGCTGCTAGTGGCTTGCTGCTGCATGGTTGAAGGCTCCTCTCTTAGCGCCCAGACGAGAGAAGGTGCATGGGCAAAGGCCAGCAGGAACATGTGACTTATCAGTAACTTTAGACATCGTAACACAATTTTAAACGAGATTTATTGTAGATTATACATTTTACTGATACCAATTATATAATATTTACCTTGTTCATTAAAAATAAAAAAAAATTATATATTATTTTTTTAAACTATTTTTTTTTTAATTTTAATTTATTTATTTATTTTTTTTTTTTTTTTTCAATATGTGAAGAGGTGGTGCGGTGCCCATAGCGCCCCTATGGACCGCCGCCACTGCTTAAAGGTCACCTTAATTATGCAAATACACTTTTTGTCATGTCTTGTATGATTCTGTGTAAAAATTCTGAAAGTTTCAGGAAAAAGATTCTCTCACTTTTTGTCCTGATCCATATTATATAAAACCTGTGTGAAAATAGCTGATTAGATTCTGGCCACTTTTGAAGTCCATAACGATTTTTTGGATTGTGTAACCATTAGCCAATCAGCAACCAGTGACCACCTTATCACCTGAATCTCCTCCTAGAGCACCAATGTGGTTTTTTTTTTATTAAAAACCAATATCTCATAGGGGCGTGGGATTGGGCTCCTTATTTTCAATCTAAAGTACAACAAAAATCTCAGCTCTTTTGAAACAGAGGGGATTATGGGATGCTGCAATGCATGATCTGTTTGGTGTTTCGAGCCAAACCCTTCAGAGACATGTTTTGTATATATCTGAGACCTGTAATATATTGATGAAAAACAGTATAATAGGGGACCTTTAAGTGTTGCTGAGGAACCAAGGTGTTTTCCTCACTGTGTCACTACCTTGGCCTCACCTCCCTCTGTGTGATCAGCACCTCACCTTCTGACAGATGTCCACCAACATCCTGCCTCTCAGAGCCCACTCTGTATCAGCGGCCCACTCCTGGAATAAAGGTTAAATCAGTGAGCACAGATCTCTGGGTGTTGCTCAGCGTTGCCCTCTATCAGTCCGTTATGGGCTGTTCTTCTGCTCCTGTGGTGGGTTTCAAATGACTGGGTGACTGAGTGAAAGTGACAAGATAGCATTCACTGTTCTTTGCTGGCCTCTTAGCGGGCTGAACAAAAAGGGAAATATTTACTTGTTTTTTGTACAGGTCTAGTGTTGAGCTGTCCACTACACTTCTCGCAGAGCCAACATCTCCCTTCAACAATACGAATCTGACTGTGTTTTAGGTGAAGTTAAGAAATAATACACCACCTTTTCTGGGGCCAAATTAGCCTTTATTGGAGATGACAATGTTGAAAGGTGGAGACAGAAGGGATGAGATGCTTAAAGGGTTCCAGGCCGGACTCAAACCTGGGTCCTCCACACAGGAACTGAGTCCTGATATATGGGCCACTACTTTTTATTTTGTATTTTATTATATATGTTGGATTGTTAGAGGAGCTCATAAGATTTTCATTGCCATTTCTACACTGTAGCTTTGTGCATATGACAATACAACCTTTGAATCTTTTTGAACCAGCTCTACCAGGTGAGCTATATGGTGGCCAAGCATTGCATTTTAACTGTTGCAAAAAACAACTGTTTATTTTCCACGGAGTAACATTTGAGGAAAGAGTGCTCAATCAAAACATACCTGGCATACATGTGTCCTTTTTCCCCCCTCACTTCTGTTACACATACATCCTCTGTCTATGGCATTGTTAACAATCCAGTGAACCTGCAGAAATCTTCCTCTCTCTTCAGATGTCTTGTCAGTGATGGTGGAAAGGGAGAGAAAATAAATCCACTTATCACATTTTTTTTTCTTTCCTGCAGTCTCTTTAAATGTCAGCTCCTTCTCCCTAACTTGACACAGTATCTTGCTCAGGAATCTGGAAATAAATAATGAGCATAAACATGCAAAGAGAAGTATTTTATGTTATATGTGCTCAAGTGATCGAGGATCTGATATAAAAAATGTACTTTCTGAATTGAACACCTTTTTTATTTTCTATTGCAACACATGTTCAAAACCATTTTAACAACAACATAATCTATTAAAACCAACGCATGTATCCATAACACAATCCCATTTAGAGATGACTGCCTTACAAAAACACCTCGCTGTAACAAAGACACCGAGTCGGCGCTCTTTCAGTGAATTACTGAAGATAATTGCCCTTAATTAGCAAGCCTTGATTAAGGTGCAGCTCCTGATTCAAGAGGACGCCAGCAGTGATGATCCCTGTCTGTTTCTCTCCATTCTAATTGTCCATGTTAGTATTCAGGTCCTCTTTAATTGTTCCTGTCAAAAGAGCCTTATGCATAAATGCAAGCCATTTGAGCAAAATGACACCTTTCTCAGCAGAATGCCACCCAGTGATGTAGAATTAATTAGATGATTGCTATATTTTTGCCATATTTAAGTCATCAATTCATGATTTTTAAAGAATACTCCAACTTGCCACATCTTAGATTCAGAGCCTGTTGTGGTGTAGATGTGTTTTTATTATTTAAATGTAATCTTCAGCACAGCAGCCATCACAAATCAAATGTAGGAAGAACAGTGAAGGCCATGAATGCTTCATGTTGTGTTCCTCATGACAGTGACACATGTTTTTCATTTACAAAACTGTGACATGATTTGAAAAATGCTTTTAATTTCTGACCGCCATAACCACTTTACTCATTGGTCCTCCATTAAAGCTCACAATGGTGTTGAGCCGGAAGCGGAGTCGACACAACTTCCCATGTCCTCAAATACACCATTAAGTATTCATCTCGGATCGTTTTGGAGAGGCCTGTTATGGAAATGCTATAATTAGATTCCTTTGCGTGAGAGGCTTGCCGGGTGTTGATCATTGTTATTTCATGAGGCATACACGGCTATGAATCTCATATTCTCAAATGTAAATGTTCCTACTTGGAGACAAGCAGTGCCCTCAAGATATTCATACATTTCAGAAAAATAACAACTTTCCAATGTCCATGAATCATTTCAGAGATGTTCATTTGAGTTTTTTCAACAACATAGTAAGGCTACTTCTATTTGATATAAACGCAACGTATTATTATTTTCCCCACAGCACACTTTCAGTATTATTAATGTTATCTGTATGTTGACCTTATGTCATTTTATCTATTTGTATCTTTTATCTAAGAGAAGATTGAGATAGGAGATGTTTATATGATTGGGGGCGGTAAAGCAGCATGTCTTCTAATAAGGAAAAATGGAGAGATGGCGCCCTCTGGCTCATACAATGTAAATAATGACCTAAAATTGACGATAATACTGCAGTTCTTTCCCAATTGTTGTTTTTAATCATTTCATTGTGCCTGTGCAAGCTGTAAGGAACATGAATATCTTGTACATCTAACTACATCACTTGTGAAGTCTTCCTCGGGAACATGGTCTCTCCACTAGTTGAAAGCTTATGATAATTTGTTCTTTCATTTGCTTTCAGACCCCTCTCATCTCCAGGGGGATAGACCCATGTTCCAGTGAGTATAACATTCAATTAAGACCTTTAACGTTGTCCTCATTCAGGTCTGGAGTGAACAGTGTTGCTTCAGTACAATTGCTCCTTCAGAGGCGTTGTTAGCATACAAGTATACGCATGGTGTTTTTGTGAGGCAGAAAGGAACAGAAGAATAAAACGCACTTCAACTGAGTAACCTAGAAACATCGGGCTTTACAGGTCCGATGTTTGGATCAGTGGATATTCAAGGGCTCTTAAAGCTTGAGATAAAACATGCGTGTGGTTCAGCGTTTCCCTTAAACCACTTGTTCATGAGTGGCACAATAATAATGCTTATTATTCAAAAGAAAAAAGACAGGCAAACACATTTTAACATGTATTCAAACACAAGGACAAGCACCCCGGCAGGTTGTGATTACAGTTTTTGAAAAGAACCAAACACTTGTATAAGATGCAAGTTTAAAAAAAAAGTATTTATAATATGATACAAGGATATGTTGTGCAAGAGGTTGTTGGGGCTGTGAGACCTGTACATTATGAACAAAGCACTTTAAAATTCAACCTGGAAGCAGAACACGGCTACTGGGCCATGATTGTGTCAAACGGCTAACTGTCAAGATACTAGCTGTAAGAAACAAATGGTTTCCACTTGTATACAATGGCTGTATATGATTAGGTTACATATTTATATAAAGTGCAAAAGAAACACTTACAGCGAAGTCTGAAGTGCTTTGTGACTGAGTGTAAGCCCTCCACCACATGCTGAAGCGTCATATGGCCGAGTGGCTGGGCTAAAGTCTACAGACATGGCAGGGCAGCATCTCAAACTGTTGGCAAAAGTTCAGCTGCAGAATATACTGTATTACAAAATGCATTAAAGGATGCAATATATTGACTTTTACAAATATAATCAATTTGAAAAGTTGTGGAAAAGTTTGCTAGAATTCCCCTTTTTACAGTTATAAATACACACTTGTCGTTTACTGCTCCTTTTACACTGAAGCATAGCACCACATGCTCTCAATTTGTATCAACCTTGAATATAAAATAACCTGAAATACATGAGGAAGTTCTTATCAGGGGAATAAGAAGCCTTTGACATTAAAGATATAAGAAAATATATGCACTGTTAGTGACTAGATTACATGTTTTGTTTATAGTTCATAATTCTGGGTTGTCTCTAATAATGCTTCAAGGTTACAAAAAGCGAGTGAACTCTGCGTCACAGTCGAGAGAGCAAGGAGGCATCAAGCGGTCCGTCGGACTCTGTCCAGCACCTCGCCGTGTCAAAGCACCTGCAGCCGGGGATTCTGGGGGATTATCTAGGTCTGCTGGGAGCCCTGTGGAGGAAGACATCAGCCATTAGTCCACAGTCGGGCGGACACATGATTGAAACCAAAGACTGGGTGAATATAATATAATATTTACAGTTTGGATATATATGTTGTTCCTTACCGAGTTGGTTCTTTTACGTTTCCAGCAGTCTGGATTGATTCTTTTCTGCTCCTCAGCCAGGACTTTGGCCTCCATGGTGTACAGCCTCCGCTCCTCATTCTTCATCTTCTTCCACTTGTCACCCAGGATGACACTAATGGCTCTGTGAGTGTAAGGTGAGAGACAGAAGATAAAGTACTCGCCTTTCCCAGACTAATGAAGCTCAGCGCAAGTTCAACCAGGAAGACCGTCTTTACTAATCCATTTACTCTCTCTCCTCTCAATAAGTGATCGGGGGCGTCACTCTCCAGCTTAACCAATCACTTCGCTCTATTCTCACAAGCCTATCATAGCGCTCTGCTAAACCTTTTTAAGTCTGCTCTCCCCCCTCTGACAGCTGTCATTTCAGGAGACTAGACACAACCCTCCTCCACCCCTTTTCACCTCCTGTCCCTCTGAGGGTCAAGCTAAGCCACTCCCCTTCAGACCGACCCCAACTATCCATTCACCACCACCAGGGTCTAGACCCCGGGGGGGATTTCATCGGATGGGTTCTCCCCTCCCGAATGATACTCCCGCACAACGGGGCCTAATCGCCAAAACTCCATTACATTCATTTGTGTATTCCTGGCAATAAATATGTATTCTTAAATCAAACCCGTCTCTCCTGATTGAATTGTCTTAGAAGGATCTATCCAACTTTGCTCTTTTCTTCTTCTTTTTTTGTTGAGAAAAAGAATATTGTGCGCATTTCTATTTTTCTATTTTCAACCCAAGCTATCGTTTAGATCAGAGTAAATACAGGAAAAGAAACAGAACAATGGAATAGTACAGTATGCCATAAAATACAAAAAAGTGATAAAGTGAATTATGCCATACAAAGTCATTGTCAAGTGGGAAATAAGTATTTTTGTGTGTTTCTCTTATTAACCTAAGATACTGTTATGTTTGGCTGGGAATACATTTGTCTGTGAAAAAGACATATGAAGGGCAGACCATCTATTTCTATTTCTTTTTTTTTTTTTTTAGAAAGGGGCAGGTCATAAGATTTTTTTTATTCTTCCTGCTCCTTTTCGGTCAATGGTGTGTTTACGATTATTATACTTTAAGATTTGCATACCATGAACGGAACAAATAAAAATGAAATGATAATAAAGCGTGTATCATAGTACGGTATGCAATCAAAAAGTCGTAAAAATGTCCTGATAAAAATCTATAAAACTCATTGTATAGTATGACACTTAAATTGCATAAAATACTAAAAAAGATATGCTATGAAAATGTTAAAAAGATAAGGGCAAAAAAGTAATAATAGAGGATAACCAAACCGTAAAAGATAAGTCGGTATAATATCTAATAAAGACATGTTGGCCCCTTACGGCCAGATGTTCCACCTCAGGTGCTGAATCTGGGTCCTGTGGCTTTAAATGACAAATGGATTCATACAAATGAATATACATGTTTAATGGTCCAAGAGAATATAATTAGATTGAAGGTGAAGTTTAATGATAATCCTACGGTAGAATGGTATCATTTGAAAGAAAAACAACACCATCAAATTAAATATATTCTCTAGGTGGAAGGGAGCTCTTTTTTTTCCCACGCAGGGAAACCAAAATGTCTGGGAGGAGCTTGGCTTCATAAATTGGCCCGGCGCTCGTTTGGAGATAAATGCATTGCTCATGGGATCTTAAATGGTGGATCTTAAACATCCCATTGCACAATGAGACTGTACTGTGACGGTACAGTCATATTAAACTACTTACTCTTCATCATTTCCACTTCCTGGGCTGAATGTGGGGAACTTTCATTGAACAGAAAGGCTAATGTGGACACCTGAAGATGTAACACAGTGATATAGAAATGAATCACAATGGCTGTTTGCGTACCTGTTGTCCTTCCCAGGATACATATGCGTGTACTCTACTCTGTACTTCTTGGCGAAGAGCATGAAGGCATTCATTGGACGCTTGCATTTTATAGGCGTGGCAACAGTGGCTGTCACTGAGGTGTTGCTCTTGTTGGATTTTCCGGTGGAGGACTGAGGGGAGCCGGAGCGCTCCAGCTTGTCACAGTCCGGACTGACGGCGCCGCTGCTGGACAGAGACGTCCTGCGCTGCCGGGCCATGCTGCTCAGGACGTACACTGCTGAGGAGTCCAGGGGGGTGAAGTCATAGCTGCAGGAGGACACAAGGGAGAGTAAAGATAGCTGTTCATATTGTGTTATTAGTTTCGTTTTTTGTGTCTATATGGGCTGTCTGATACAAATATTATCTGAAAATGTCATATTTGTCAATAAAAATGCATTTCTAAAAAATACAAAGAATTGACATGTAAAGGAGTGTAATCATTTTGAGTGTACAGTGTGCTGCATTTCGTTTTGAAAAGATCGGACTTTTTAGGCATATTTATGTTTTGCAAACCGCATTAAATGTTGCTACAAACAGTTTGTAGTATTTGTAAAAGATGATGATTAGACAAGGAATGTGTACAAGAAGGCTGCAATCTAAGAATTGACTAATTTATGGTTACAATTTTTGGGAAGTTATAATTACTTTATTAAAGAAGTTCGGCTGCATTTGGCCGTACCCAAGAGGCAAAAATATAGTTGCTAAAAGCAGAAGAATAATAATTTGTACCTGTAGATTAATCCCCGAGACCCCTGTCATATTCTCATTTGATGAATTGTTATTCAAAAAGAATGATATCTACTATAGTAAGTCTCTTCATTGCATAAAGCAAGATCACATTATTGTACCTTCTGAAGGTGTCAAAGACAACAGAGTCATCGCAGTTGATGGCTTCTGGGTGGTTTGGGGGGAGGCACACGTTGCCCACCTGCATCTCGTAACAAGGGATCCCATGATGCACCACGGTGAGGCTCGGATAAAAGGAACACCACCCTGAAAAACACAGATGGTACATTTTAAAACAGTTCTAGTCATACAGCTGTTTATTTAAACATAAACCAAAAGGAGTTTTTCCATTAAGAAAAAAAACTTTCTCATATTTCAATGAAATCAATAAATATATTAATGTAAAACAATATCAATATTTATATTTATTTTTAACATATATGAACTTCTAAGTTCTTGTTTTACCTCTGTTTTTGACAAAAAATGGGTGATCCAATCGGCATTCAGCTGTCAAAAGGCCCTCCTCAGGTGAGCCGGGGTCAAAGGTCAGTTTGAGGACAGCCTGGCCAAAAGACACCGTCTCTTCATGGCTCACCAACTTCATCCCCTCTGAACCGTATCTCTGTGAAAAAGACCAATGAGAGAAAGGTTTTGCATAATGAGGAAGTAGTTTAACTCGCCACCAGAGAGTGAATTGCTGTAGCTTTCCCAATTGCCTGAAAAACTTCCATTATACTAAATGAGACCACCTCTGCGAATCAACAAGACAGTCTTCAGTCATACACTCAGTTTCTCTTCCTCTACTTTTAGCTTTGCTGCCACCTTGAGGTCATTAAAAGCCGTTGTCTTGACTACTGACATCACAAGGAATCAATCATGCACTTCACTCTACTAGCAGTCAGCAATCCTGAGGGATGCAAACTAATTACAAAGGGTTTTTAAATATGAATAGGTAAAACCAACAAGAAGGCAAGCAAGGCAGGTGTATTTCAAAAGCATGTTCATTACAAAGACCTAAACCCAATTTACATTCAAAAAAAGAAAGACTTAGAAGAATCTGAAAGATTTGAGCTTAGTTTTAAATCTACATGCAGTTTTTATAGACTGCGGCTCTTCAGGCAAAGCACTCTCAAGGTGGAGGCCACAGTAACTAAAAGCCCCTTCACCAGTGCCTGATCTAATTCTGGGTTTAACCAAAACGGCACAGTCTGGAGACCGGAGAGGGCTGATGGGGAATCATCTGTGAGCAGGTCCGAAATAAACTGGGGAGCTGAACCATTAATGTTGTACGAGTTGAAGTTCAACTGTTGAATGTTTTGATAATGCAGTGAAAATACTTTTGCAGTTATCGGTTCAACATTAAAGCGTAAACTAGATTCTAACAATCAGATGTTGAACGAATACTTTTAAAAAATATTTCTTAAGCAGTAGATTGATAATCTCTTAATGACTGATGTTATTTTCTAAATTAAGTCTGACACCCAGGATGAATCTCTAGTTTTGTACCTGGCTTTAAGGTTGCGTGATAAAAAGGTATGGATTCATTTCCTGCTGCTGTTTTAGTTTTTTGGGGCCAACATAAGGAATTCAGTTGTATTCATGTTAAGCTGTAAGAATGTGTTTGGATCCAATAATCTATGTCAGTCCGGCATTTTTTAGGTTGCCTATTGGGCTTAGGTGATTGGAAAAAGATTGCATGTTTTTGAAATCAGGTAGTGCAATCTTTTGTTCGGCATACATGTGTTTGCATCCCTGAAAACTAAACATGAGCTGTACAAAGCGGGAACCTATTCCAGCCGATTCGTATTAAATATCTTACGGTTTGTTGCCTACCTTTAAAGAGAAGGAGAATGGCCTCATGGTTTCATCGTCTGTGTCCTCATCAGAATCCCCCAGTTCATCCGCGTCCTGCCACTCCACATTCGGACCTCGGTGGAAGCGCAGGCGAGTTCCTGAATAAAAACACAACAATGTGACATGATGAATAAGCAGTGTTGATACTGAGAAGAGAATTCTGGAAAAGGTTGCAATACTGCTTTTTGGACACCAGGGGTCAGAATTTCTTTACACATTTTTGTAGCAGTTGTAGAGTGAGGATTCTTTGAACTGTGTGTAAACAAGAGTGTTGTCAGAACCTCTAAAGCTTCTGTCCAAAACAGTTTTTATTTCATTTTTGGTTATTATTAGCAAACTTTGAGGGCAGAGCAGTTCAAATGCAATCAGTACTTTTTTACAATACTAATTACAGGTCTGTTCACAAACAGTTCTGACAAGTTTCAATAAAAGATAGAAAAAAAAAAATGTTCTCAAGTCTGAAATAAAAATGTGTGTGGCTTACATTTGCACATTACCGTTTAAACAATAACAGATTGAAGAAAACATGACTAATGACTGTAATGACCACCAGTGCATGCAGACACGTTCAAGTGAAACCTGAGCTTTTCTAAAGAACATCTAAGAATTATGACTCATAGCTAGTTACCAGAATCCACAGTGAATACCGTTTGTACATGAGTGTGTGTTTTCACCTTTAAGGAAGCAATGCCAGGCTGTGGAGGGCCAGGAGTGGGACCAGGCCATGTCTTCATCATCAGAAAAAGAGGAGGACATTGAGAAAACTCCAGATTCGGACTCGCTGCTGGCCTATTGTATATTAAAAAATAACGTGAAAAAATTACATTAGTTTACATGTAATACACAATTTATGGTTGAATCTTAGGTTTACAATGTTGTCTGAAGTGAAGAGTTACCCTGACACGCCTGCGCTCCCTGAGGTAGCCTCTGGACGGGATGGGGGCACTGCTGGCTAATGGGGGGCGAGCGTAGGAATGTAAACTATTACTGATGTGGACTGGTGATGATCTGGAAAAAAAGACAATATCATTCACATTTATTTGGTCACTGTTGATACTTAATATTTGTGTTTTTAATAATCTACAGACAGCAAAAGGTGATTCAGTTGTTCAGCAGAAGCAGGGTTTAGACAGTAAGACAGGGACAGAAAGCTATTCACTTTATTGATTGCTGAAAAATGTACAGAATTTCGTAAGATATTTAACACATTTTCTAAATGATGTGACTAACTCGACAGTCCTGCTATGTGGAGCACCCCCCAGGGGAAGCAGTGTAATTATGTTGTACAGGGATTGTACACTTCTCTGTGTTTATATCCCTGAATACGCTCATCAGACTTTTGATTTTCATACTATTTTGCCTCAGTACAAACCTCTTGAGGGGGGCGCTCTTTAGCAGGGAGGTCTTAGGGTTGGTGGCAATGTTAGCCAGCTCAGCCAGCCAGTTGGTGCTGGGTGAGCAGCTGAGCTCCTGGTGGGACACTCCTGCTCCAACCTGAAATATCCCTGGAGACCTCTGGTCCTCCTCCACCTCCTGCAGCTCCGGCAGGTCATCTGGGGAGAAATCAACGGTCAAATTCATAATCCCAGGACTGTGACTAACATTTATTTTCATTGTCTATAAATCTGTCAATACCTTTCTCGAATATTTGATTAGTTGTTTGGTCTAAAAAAATATCACTTTGTTTTTCCAACTACCAAGATGATGACTTAATGCCATATAGATCAGTACAAATCCAGATTTAAAAATCAGGAATCAGATTGTATTCGTAATATTCTCAAACCAATGGACAACATAAATTAATCGCAAATCTGATTATTAACATGTGGAAAAGGCCAGTGTAAAATGTGATTTTGCTGTGTTGGGATGTTACCATATTCCATGTGGCATGCAGGTGAGGAAGGCAGGTCCTCGTTGCACTTGAGTGGATCGAAAGACTCGTCCATTGTCACAATATTCTACTGTTTCCTCTCTCTTTAACAGGCTGCAGGTCTGTTTACTCAGCTTCCGTCATCATATGCTGCCACATCAGCTGATTTCATGCAAAACAAAAAGGGGAGAAAAAAAGTGAGTTTTCACATTTAAAGTGAAACTGCTGCACAATGCTGCATTAAAAATAATCACTAACCCTAACCCACTAAAAAAGGATTGCATACGCCTGAATGGCGATACGCGTGTTTTTGATAGTGATATGGTTTCAGGAAGACATAATGAACGGATCAATGTAGTGGATAAAAAAAAAACATTATCACAGTAGCCAAATGTTTCTGAACGCGCAAATAAATAAACAGCTGTGACAGTCTGTTATCATAGCAAGACATTTCATATATTGCATGATTAAAATGGAGAAGGTATGAAGCATTTAGGGAATCCTTTGTCTCTGAATCGACACAGTATACCACTGCGGCTGGTCACGTGACCCGCTGCATGGAGGCCTTGTTTATAAACTTAAAGGGATTTGGCGCATGCGTACCAGAGCTCATTCATTCATAACTGCGTAGCAAAAGTGAAAAATAGCAGGAATTCCTCTGTTAAAGTGGCTTTTAAAGATTCGAAAACTGGAGATGGAAGAAAATACGAAGTAAAAGAGTGTAATCCTGATTTTAATATAACATAATGTGTTTTTTAGCGACATGCAAAGTAAAAAAATCATTACAAATATGTACAATAAAGAGGTGACGATCAAATGATTCAGTTTACAAGAAGGAAATAACGGATATGTGCGTTCCAACCGTCATTGCACGCTCTGACAAACGTCGCTTTGACTTCGTAAACACGGACACGAATAACATACAGTAAATATAACGATTCAGAAGTATTAAAAGGTCCAAAAAGAGAGATTGACACTCGGGCCTGCTGTTCCCCACTCCCCAAAAGCAGTAACAGTGTTCAGTCCCAGAGGCTGTCGGGTCTAACACTGTAAACAAAAGAATGTCAACAAGTTGAGGCATGACGCAACCTCACTGCCCCGTTCAAAATGAATGACACAAAAACACGGAGAGGCTTTTAAAACGAGACTTTTACACGACTCAAAGCAGATTTCACCAAATGAATGACATGTTTTTTATACACAGAAGAGCTTTTGGTTGGGCTTGTTATCACCAAAACAACAAGCGTCATCGCGAAAAAAAACATTGTCGAGCACAACCTGTCATTGGAGATCAAATAAAGGCGTGACAACCCAGCTAAAACATCGAGTTAGAACAGCAAATACACCAATCACACGACGCTAACGTTAAAAATACGTTTAAACCGTTTATTTCTTCGATAAAAGTAGTCTGTTTTCCACTTACCAAACCAGTCGCCATAAAGAAACTCTCTGGCATGAACTCGAAGGGTGGGAATGAATGCATACAGAGAAAGCCTCCTATTGGTGGATAAGAACATCAATAACAAGAATCCGGGAATTCTATTGGTTCACATGATTGAGAAAAACCTTGAAGGCGGGGCCTAGTTTGTTTTTCATCGTATGATTGGATGAAAGTACATGCCTATTACTGCCCAGTAACAGCTGATTGGGAATAACAGGAACAATGCATGATTATTTTTTTAATCAACAATGTTGCAACCACAGCAAGAAGTATAGTCTGCTTTCTAGATGTAGTGTCATTTACCTTGCAGTTGAGTAATTGCAGTTACAATTGTAACTGTTTTACAACAACATTATTCAAACAAATGCATACACTGAATGAAAAATGTAATACAACGAATGCGTTACAGAATTGTATGGCTGTTCCATAATTGTGACAAAATATTAAGTGAAACGCAAATATAAAAATGTTCTTTATTGACATGAAAAGTTAAACATACAGTACTTTCAGCCAGTATCATGGGTTTGCCTTCAAAAATGACCAGCACTACCTGCACAAAGGGGGGGAAGGTCAGAATGTTTCAATGTTAAACCAGCTTTGAACAGTTTAAGCTGCAGTAAACCACAGACAAATTACAGAAGACTTCAATTATTAATCTTAAAAATAGAGAAGAAGAGAGAGAGAGAGAGAGAGAGAGAGAGAGAGAGAGAGAGAGAGAGAGAGAGAGAGAGAGATAGAGAGAGAGAGAGAGAGAGAGAGAGAGAGAGAGAGAGAGAGAGAGAGAGAGAGAGAGAGAGAGAGAGAAGACCCACTTTAGATTCCTGCTTAGAGGGAACGTTGGAACATATGTTTCCAAAAGTAGTTGGCAGAGGTAGACAGCAATAATGAATGTCATAATCATAATGTATGTTTCACAGACACAAAAACAATATGACCTACATTTTACATTAAAACACAGGAAAATCAATTGTTTCAAGACACTGCCTATAATGACTAGTCTAGTGGGGCAACTTATTCAATTAAAGCTGGGCCTATATAATAACAGTAAATACTCAGTTTCAAATTGTACAGCAATGTGTTGTATATTCTTACAAAACTATCAGCTATCTCTCTGAAGTTTGTTTTTTTGCAAAAGCATAGAATTAGGCTAACAGCCACAAACACACTTACCAACGATGATATAAAGTTTATGAACGTGTTCAAGGGGTTCAACATTATGATAAACAGAAACGTATTTTGTAAAAATGTTAAAGTACTGCCAAGTTTACATTCTGTGGTAATCAAAATGTGAAATATGTTATCAAATCAACTTCTTTTACAAATTGTAATCCTTTCTCATATTGTGGCACTTGTACCAGTGCACCTCATGCCGCAAATGTTAGTGCTCTAGCCAAAAATGACGAGAGATCGTGACATATTTGCTCACCATTATCCAGTAAGAAATTAGCTTTGGCATCTGATTTCCACAAACAATGTTTAGAAATGTAGTACAAACGATATTATACTGTAGGTGTAACTATAACACTGTGGAGAAAAAGGTGAGCAATAACAAAAGTGTTCAATATACAAACAGATAATGCGTCTTACACTGACAGGTAAAATGTACGCTTACATTTTAAGGTGAGAATCGTGACAATTCTACTTCAAACAAGCTTTAAGCATCTCTGCTTTGGCTTACTGTAACACGCTGTGGCAACTCTGCTAAAATGAACCTCGTCTCATATGGGATTCTGACGTAGTCTGTTATATTTATCTGACACACAAATGTAGTAGTGGATATTCACATTTGTTGTAAGAAAAGCTGTTTAAGTGATAATGGGGGAAACATCGTAACAACCCTCTTTTTCATCCACCAATTCATGGTCCATTGCTGTTCATGCACTTTGTTGCTCAATCTCAGTGCTACTCCCAAACAGGGCCACCAGCTGTTCCTCATAGTTAGCAATGTTTCTCTTCATGATGTCCATACACGGGCCCAGCAGTCTCTCGAAGGCTTGTACGTCAATGACTGACAAAACAGACAAATTACAGAGGAGTCAGAAATCATTTAAGGAGAGTTTCGAGTTAGAGTTATGATTGTTTTAAATAAATCATAAACATATACCCAAGCATTTGACTCGTCCCACAGCATAGGCTGATGCAGCTCTGGGCTTGTTTGTGACAAGCGCCAACTCTCCAAAATACTGGCCTCTAGAGCACGTGGCGATTTCCACCTCCTCATCTTCCTGATCTTTTTTCGTCTGACAGGAAGAAAAACACACAATTAACCTAATTGGATATGCAAACATTTTTTTTAACTTAAATAACGAAGGGCAAACTGGTCAAACATACCCTGCTTCTTTTCATGGTGATTCTTACTTGGCCAGATTCAACAATGTAGAAGGAATCTGCTAAATCACCCTGTAATACAAAGAAAACTAAACGTGTGACTCAGTATCTATTATTGCTCCATTGCAGCAGAAGGTGAAATTATCAATGTAAGAACAGATCATAGAGATTCTTCACCTGAGCAATAATCTGCTGTGAATCATTGTACACGTTGGTGGATATTACGTCCACTACCTTCATTCTCTCTGAGAGCTGTGGAAGACAATATATGTGGTTAACAATGGAGTTACTTTTAAAGCATGGTCAACTTTATTCACATTGGAGGACAAACTAATCCTAGCCTCTAATGATGTAAGCAGTGGTAGCGTTTCAATGAAGGCCTCATACAGCCTCCTTTTCTTGGCGTTGTTCTTCACTATTATCCTCCTGAATGTCAGACGATCCTGAAACACAGATTAAAAGAAAACGTAACAAAATCATGTCAGAGTATTTTTTGTATTTATTCAAAAGCCCCTCTATTTTTTCTTCCTGTAAAACACCTTTGATTTTGACCTTTTTTACATTTTCCCTAGAATGTTCTGGCATCCTTAAGCAAACAATATCTCTTATGAAACAACATGTCTGCAGTAGGGGTCACTGTTAACCCGTTTTTAAGTAAGAAAAGCGTCTCCTTCAAACCATAACACCAGCTCTGGGATAATTCAAGCAGCATCAATCATGTGCTCATGGAGGCTGTTGCTCTAAGCGATAAATCTTTAGAAATATCTCAGTTTGTTTGTGTGTCATTCAGCAGGATGATGTTTTAGATTCAAATAATATCCAGCAACATGTTTGATGGCATACAGTAGTAGCTGGTTACATACTATTCTGTTCTATTCTATTCGGTGGAAAGTAACTATGTATATTTACTCAAGTATTTTACTTAAGTACATTTTTTGAGGTACTTGTACTTAACTGAACTTAAGTTGAGTCTTTCCAGTTTATGCTACGGCAAACTTTTACTCCTATATAATTTGGAAGGAAATATTGTACTATTTACTCACTACCTTTATTTGAGAAGGCAAGGCAAGGCAATTTTATTTATATAGTACTTTTCAGCACGTGGCGATTCAAAGTGCTTTACACATTAAAAGCAAAAGACATTTAAGAACAAATACAACATAAATATAATATATATATATATATATAATAAAACATTTCATATAATGAAAATAAAATAAATAAATAAACACAGCTGGTACAGAATACATGACTAAAAAGGCATACTGTAGTGTGAGTATGGGCAGCTCAATTAAAAGCAGCGGCAAATAGGTGCGTTTTTAGTCAGGATTTAAAAATAGGAAGTGTTTTGGCGGACGTGCACGATTTAGGCACGAAGAAGATTAGTTAATAGTGACTTTCCAGGTTAATAATATTAATACAAAAATATAATTGACAAATTAGTTATGGCATATTATTATAAGGTACATGGCATGATAAAATGTTGTTTAAGTTAGCTTAACCTTAACCAGCTACCACATTAAAATGATGTGTGCATAAATGGATTGTTAGTTAAAATCCAGTGATATAATATATATTATTCAGACAAATACCAGACGTGTACTTGAGTATTTTTACACCGTGGTATTACTACCTTTTACTTAAGTACAGTATAATATCTGTCAGTAGAGTCAGTCCTGGGCCTAAGGACATGGTGTACCACAGCTTTAATATCTAACAAGGTTACCAAAAAGTTAACCATTACAACCCCATTTCAAATGATACCAAGTGATCAGCAGTATCAGCGGAAATAAGCCTGATAGATGTCCCAGACCTAAATCCGACTCTACTACTGTTTGAACAGAGGCCCTCACTGTCCCTCCTCGATGTCAGGGGCTTGTCTGTTGAACACGACTCTCTGCTTGTTCACAACCTCAAACACAAACTACAAGTACCGGGTCAATAGGGGATACTGCTGCAACCTGCCCGGTCTGCACACAGATGACATAACAACGCTGTTCCCCACAGTATAAGGACACGACCTTTGCTGAGTCATTAATAAACAAGCTGCTTCACAGATCAACTACTCAAAAACAGCTGTTTTCAGACCCAATTTTTAAAACTGTTTTAATTTAGATTTACCAGTTTTTGTTATCGCACTTTGTGTTTTCCATTATGGCGTTTAAAGCCCCAGCTTAAATTCTGATAATTGAATAACTTGATTACTCAACAAGTTAAGTTCATCTGAGGTTCACTTTGCCTTGTTGAGCGGATCTGATAGCGGAGCTCTCTGAATGGGCCACAAAACATTTTTAATTGGCCTGTATTACATTCATAAATAAACATATCTTTTCACATTCAGTTTCCACATTCATTAGCTTTAATAAATGCATTAATGAACATGTATTCATATCCAGGGGCATTATTAGTGCTCTCTCATGTACTGTTGCATTCATTAGGTTTCATACAGTTTGTTATCGCAGTAAGTCCACATGATCTCATCTAATAATGCCAACACTGTCACTGACAACCTAGATATTTACTGTTAAATGTGGCAACTAACAGCACAGCGGGTTTTTAATCCTGTGCACGGAGCCAACTGTGCCCTTGCATGAGGCTTTAATGGTTTACTCACTAGGCACCAAACGGCTCCAGGGGAGGTGGCGATTATTGTGGCTGCCCTGGGGGTGTTGTACATCAACGCTAGTTCTCCGAAGCTGCCTCGGTTGTC